TGACATGTGTGGTGGCAACAGCCGGACCAAGTCAAGTCTCACTACTGCTGAGCCCAGGCAAGTTGTCTGGTGTCCTGTCATCTGGTAGCTGCTGCTGCTGCTGCTGCACCTGTGTGCTTTCCACAAATTGTGTGGTAATGCGCCGTCTAACCTGTGAAGTCTTGTGAGCAAAAATTCTACTGTGTGAGCTACTGGCATTAAATTTGTGGGCAAGTGATTTGGCTACTGCATAAAGTAGTTTGCTCTGTAACCATCCTTCCTGAGCTAAGACAAAAATGTGTGAGCCAGAGGCTAAAAAGCTGTGAGCTAGCTCACACCAACTCAGCTTAGAGGGAACACTGGTAACAAGTTGCTTGGTTGTTGCTGTTTGATCCAACCCCAGTGAAGTTTTCCTCCAGGAAAGGAGGAAGGAGAGTAGGGGTGCACTGGGAAGCCAAAATAGCCCTGAAAAGTACCTTTCCCCCTCCCTTTTGCTGACAGTAGTCAAAATTTAAAAGCTGGCAATATTGTTCTTCTATCCTAACCACCACCACAGTGACCACTGAGGTCTCCTTTCGTAAACGTATAGGCTCTGCTCCTGTTATTTGGGGGTGGATTTAAACCCCCCCCCCAGTGTATGTTTTTCTGGTTTCACAGTTTTCTGCAAATCTAGAGCTTTTCTCAGGTTTGTAGAAAAAATCTGTCTTGTCTGTTCATGGCTCCAGTCTCCAGATGTAAGAATCCACAGATGAGGCTATGTTAAGAATTAGATATAACAAGTAGGGGCCTGTGAAACTTATGGGGGGGAATCTCATCTCCCCCCGCCCTTTCCTGAGTCCACCCCAACCACCCACATTGAGGCCTGGTGGCGGCAGTATCTGGTAGCTGCTCGAAGCCTGTAGTGGCTCCCAGTGCCTGTTGCAGCAGGGCCCTGAATGGCTCCTGGCATCTGCTGCCACCATGGCAGGGTCTGGAGCAGCTCCTGAACAGCCCACCATGGCTTCCAGGCTCCATCAGGCAGGTAAGGATTTACCTTTCAAGGGATTTAAACCCCGTTTTTTTAAAAAAACATTTCAGATTTTTCTGCATACCTGGTGAGTCCGCCAAATGTGCACAAAAATCTCTTTAGCCTCCGAGTCACCCTGATCCACAGATTTTAGCTATCCTCAGATTGCAGCCACACATGGCTAATAGTATATAGTATATAGTATATAGTATAGTATAGTATATAGATAACTATGCTTGATAGAAGAAAAGGCCATCTGTGACTGTTGGGAAAGCAGATTGGTAATATCCATGACTAGGAAGAAGGCTCGTTGTAGCAAGAGACAACAAGCGCTAGTTTCGGCGGTGGGCACCCGCCCACTCTGGACAGCCCAGCAGTGATGAGGTGAAGGCGCACGGCCACGGAGCTGCCCTGATGCCAGGCGGGCCAAGGTGACCGGCAACGGCCCTCCCACGACAGGGTGGCCGGCACCCTGCCAGCCGGCATGCTCGAGGCCCCCACGGGTGGAGGAGGTCGGGTGCAGGCCCCCCCCCCATGCCGGGATGAAGGCATTGGTGGGCCAAGTCGGCCGGCCTGATTTCTCTCACGGCTGCTGGAGGCACCGGTGGGCCAAGGAGCCCAGTGCGCTGCCGGCGGAGAGGCCCCATGCCACCCGGCCCTCCAGGAGGCTGCCAAGCAGCCGCAAAAGGCGGGATTGGGTAATGACAGGTTGGTGGTGGTCAGTGCAGTGCCGGAAGAGAGGCAATCTGGCCGGGACGTGGCCATGAGTCAGCGTCCTTGTACTGGGGCGCAGCGGAGGGGGCTCGAGTAGGCCTCCCCATGCCCAGACGCAGTGGCGCAAGGAAAGGTGAGGCAGGGGCAGTTGGAGGTCTCGCGTGGCGGTGGGAGGATCATCCCACGGTCCCTGGTTTCCCCCCGCACAACTGGCCCCCTGGCTGGCCAGGTGGCGGTGTCCCGCAGGCCACGTCTGTGGCCGTCAATCCAGCAGCCCTTTCCTAGTGGCAGAGCGCCCAGCTACCTGGAGGCTGCCTGGGGCGATGAGGAATGGTGTGGCAGTGGTAGAATTGACCTGGGGCTCACACACATCCCAGTGCCGGAGTGTCCATCCCACCCGGCAGCCCCACGCAGAGGGTGCCTGGCAGGTCTGTGGGTGGGGCCGAGGTGACGGAGGGATGCAATCCAGCCAGGGGATTGGCCCCCCGCTGAGCGACAGGTCAGGTACCCAAAGGCTAGGGAGGCGTGTGGAACGTTCAGGCGAGTCATACACCAAAATGCTTTTATATATCAGGAAAGATAAGCATGTATGCTTCTGAGTACTGGATGCTGGGGCTGAAAGGGATGGGCATCATTTTCGCCTTTAACTTCTGAACTACCAGGGTCATCTTCCCAGAAACTGTTGGAAACAGAATTGTAGAATAGATAGGCCTTAATCTGATACTGTAGAGTTGACTTTGATAACTTAATGGACACATAAGACATGGAACAATTCAGTATATATATGAAATTAAGATAGAATGCTTAACAGAAAGCTAAGCATTTTTCTGCTTGTCGTGTTGTGTGTGTTCTCTGTCACTGTTAGATAGAGCTGCAATTATTTTTTTCCCAGATAATCCCTCCACTGGGAAATGAGAACTGAATAAACTTGTAGGGCTGGATGCCATTTGAAGATGCCTGCACTTTTAGATTGCCACATTGCATTTAGTTGCAAAATTAAAAACTGCATAGTGAATTATGTGAAGTGAATTATGTGTTATGTACTTATTATTTTTTACCACTGGAGCCTCTGAGCTCCAGTGTATTTTACTCTTAGAAAGCAAGAGTACATTCCCAGGATCTCTTAAGCATTAGGACATAACTATTTATCAGTGATGTATTTTTATTTAATTATTTAAACATGTCTATCCTATTCCTATCCCCAGTGGGGATTCAAAGCAGCTTAAAACATACACAAATACAATTTTAAAAAATACATTCTATAACTCCAACATTCTGGGCTGGCCATGGTTTATTCAGGGCTGCAAGCCATGAGCTGATAGCCAAGGTCAAAGAGTCCTTTGACTCTTGTCCTTCATCTTGTGTCAAAAAGCTCACTATTCTGGTCATGTCCAGGTATTTACCTGTAACATAGGAGGGAATAGAAGTTCAGCCCAGGGCTCATTTAGCTATGTACCCAAGATTCCCTCCTTACCCAGAAAAGCCTCTGTCCATGTCCAGGCTAAAACACCTAGAAGATGTGTATTAAGAGGTCTGAGTAGGCCCTCTTGCTTAAAGTTTCCACTAGTTCAGCATATTTATATGAATCAAAATAGCCAGTGATCTGTGTATGCCAGTGGACTGTGGCATATCTCCTGCCCATCTCTGATGTAAACCACTCAGGATTGAAAAGGCTGTAGCTGCACAGACGTGGACATGTTTTTAGTAAATGGTGATGAATCTGGGTTTGAGAAACATATGAAGCAGTTCCAAAACTGTATGGTGTAATGGGAGAGTTCATTATACACACTTCATTTGAAATTATATGGTAGTGCTGGTTTTGAGATTTGTTTAAATCTTGCATAACTCACTGAAGCACATACTCATTTTATGCCTACCATCAGTGAATAATCTTGTGCTTTTGGAATACAAAACAGTAAGTTGTTGTACTTTACATATTCTCCTTTAAATGACACTCAAATCAGCATCCAGTCCACAGCATCATTGCTTAGAAGCTAACCTAATAATTTACGAGTTAATAATCAGGATAAGTCCCCAAATTTTCTCAGACTAGTCATAAGAGGCTGTACATTCTTTATCTGTTACATGGAAATGCTAAGTTTATTGTTCTTTAACAATAATGAGAAAAGAAATATAAACTACTCCAAAGAAATCTTTCATAGTCAGTTTAATGATTATACTTGTTATTTATGACCAGTGTCACTTAAGAATACACTAAATGATTTGTAGATTTGAGCAGTGAAGATGCTATATGAGTCAATCAGGAATTAGACTGTTTGCAGGACCCATCAGTGTCAGCAAGCATGTAACTGATGCTTCTCTTAGTTGTATAATGAAGACATGTAGAGAAATCAGAAAAGTCGGAGTAATTCAGTTCCTCTTGTTAGAAGTACTGGTATCTTAAATCACAGTGGGTATTATATTAATATATATATAAAAATGGTAAATGCATTCTATTTATGCAGGCTGTGAAATTGGCACTACTTTTATACATTTTATTTCATCTTTTTTCATCCAATGTTGTATGTTTAAATACTTTCTGGATTATTTAGGTTGAATTGATATGAAAGCAATTTTTGGTGTAAATAAATAATAGAATATCACATGGATATAACAAGTTAGCAGTTATGATGACATGTCCCAAATGCCTATAAAATGGAGGGATTTTTTTTCAAGCTCAGCATATGTGAGAGGCAGAAGCTGAACTCTTTTCCCTTTCTATACCCCCCCCCGTTCTTGTCACCCACCTATTTTGCCCATCTGTTTCCCATCCCCCAGTTGGCTTCCAAGTCTAGAACTAATCCCTTCTGAAAGAAAAGCAGATGGAGCAAAAGACTTTTAGGCAGGGACAAGTGCTTTCTCCAGCACTGTTTTCCTCAATCTTCCTTCTCAAAGCTGCTGCTACAGTTTTCTTTCTTAAGAAAGATAATTCCCTGACCTTCGACAACCATTGCAAACTGAACATACTACAGCCCTATGTAACAACGCCGGATATGGCCTTTCTCCAGCGGACCATGTATAGAAATTCCCCACCATCTGTGTATATTTAGCACTTTATGTAATTGTTCGTACTGAAATTTTATTGTATTTATTGGTTTTATTGTATTTTAAATTCTGTAAGCCGCCTTGAGCCAGTTTGCACCGGCAAGGCGGGATACAAATTGAAGGTAAATAAATTAATTAAATTGTCGGACTGAGAAAATTTTTTAAAAGCTTATTGTAGGGCCACTTATATAAAAGTATTTTCTGTAGAAGATATATTTCATAATGAAAGTGTGTGAACATTTTGCATATTTTACAGTCACATTAACCAGAAAACCCAATTTGAAAATCCAGTCTTGGAAGCCAAACGAAGAAAACAGCTGGGACAAAATGATGGAGGCCCTCCAATTGCAGGTATTACTTTTGATGGTTTCTTCCATTGCTGCTATGTGCTCATCAAGAACTGTGTATTCAGCTATAGTCCCATGGCCTTGTCGTGCTTTCTGCAAACTTTTAATAATCTAAGCCTAATATAAGATTTAAAAATGTGTAAATGAATTTAGAGACAGAATTCAAAATCTTTGGGTATTAGATATGTAACCTTAACAATGTGTTGTTACTATTGAAATGTCATAGGTGAGCATTAATGTTCCATAAGTCAGTATTGCTGTAATCAGTTTAAAACATTCTGAGGTTCATGCCATCCCGCACCCGTGAACCTCCCAGGTGGCTTTGGGGGGTTCATGTGGTTTGTGTTGGCAGACATGCTGGCGCTGGCAGTGGGGCTTGGAGAAGGCATTTAAAGAGACTGCAGTCTCTTTAACCTTCTCCAAGCCATGCTGCCACCACAGCGCAACTTGGCGAGTGAACTCAGAAGGCGTTTAAATGCCTTCTGAGTTCACTTGCAAGTCACGCCATGGTTGCAGCGCAGCTTGTAAAAACCATTTAAAGGGATTCCTTTAAATGGTTTTTGCAAGCCATGCTGCATCATGAACCACAAACTGGTTCATTAAGTGGAAAGTTTTGTGAAGGTTCATGAGACACTATAGACCACGAACCATCATGAACCTCCATTTCCCCAGTTTGTGCCTATCCATAATCTGGATATTAAGTTAAACTTTATAACACTGAAAACATAAGCTCTTTGGTAATGTTACCATTATCATACTATATCATATGGGAACAAGTTGAGTGGAAAGATGGCTTAAAATAAGTAAGTATCAGTTGTGGGCAGAATTTATGACATTTAAGCTATAAATATATCCTTGAAAATATGATATATGTGCTTACTGGGATTATCATTGTCTAATGTGAATACTGATTTACATAAAAACCTTCATGTTGTGTATTTTGAATGAGTGAAAGCTCATCTTAAAAGTATTTCACTCATTCCAAAGCAGAAAATATTTCACTGGAATTTTTTCAGTGCAGCCAGAAATTTCCAAGGCTTCCATCATTATTAATTCTCAGGAGGGGGGAAAAAAATCCAGAGGGTCTTTTTACATCTGGAGAGCCAGTTTGGTGTAGTGGTTAAGTGCACGGACTCTAATCTGGGAGAACCGGGTTTGATTCCCCACTCCTTCACTTGCACCTGGCTGGATGACCTTGGGCAAGCTGTAGTTCAGATAAGAGCTGTTCTTGAAAAAGAGCAGTTTCTGTCAGAGCTCTCTCAGCCCCACCTACCTCACAGGGTGTCTGTTGTGGGGAGGGGAAGGGAAAGGAGTTTGTAAGCCGCTCTGGGACACCTTTGGGTAGTGAAGGGCCGGGTATAAAACCAATCTCTTCTCTTCTTCTTCTTCATCATCATCTCTAGTGTCACTGCTGGGAGGGGAGAAAATGGGGAGGTGGGCATTTCCCCCCTCAGTCTTCACATTTCTATTCCAAAACTACAGTAGTCTCTTGCTTGTGTAAAATGAAGGCCCAGTTCAATTTCTTTTCATAGAGCTGTCTCTTTAACCAAGTAGTCACAACCATGTTTAGCTTGTTCTTTGTATCTGAATTCACTTAACACTCCTATACCCATTACATTACAGAGTTTCCCCATTGGTGGCACTATTCCATTATTAATGCCTAGCTTGGTTTCACCTGTAATCCTGTTTTGAACATTTGTTCAGACTTTTTTCCAAATCTCAAAAAATCTATAAAATTATTCTCTCTAAATTTGCCATTCTAAGTCTTTGCTGCATCTCTGTAGCTGATCTTATTTGATCTTTCTTGCAGTCAAATGTTTTTGTTAAATTGTTTAGTTCTGTAATACTGTGTTGTTTTAGCTGGGTACCTGATTCCTGAATGTAATATGGAATACTTTTTGCTTGTGTGCAGAACCAGTGAAATCTCTCTTTACCCGAGACCCATCCCAGTTAATAGGAGCACTCATACGGACATCACTGAAAAAAAGTACTATGGGATTTGGTTTTACAATAATTGGTGGAGACAGGCCAGATGAGTTTCTCCAGGTAAAGAATGTGCTGAAAGATGGACCTGCTGCACAGGATGGCAAAATTGCACCAGGTGAGTAGGTATACTCCTTCAAAAAATTACATCTGAGCCTGAAGAAGTGAGTAGTACAGAAAGGGATGCTAGGAGAAGATGAAGAGATTGGATTTATACCCCACCCTTCACTACCCGAAGGAGTCTCAGAGCGGCTTACAAACTCCTTTCCCTTCCCCTCCCCACAACAGACACTCTGTGAGGTAGGTGGGTCTGAGAGAGCTCTGACAGAAACTGCTCTTTTTCAAGAACAGCTGTGCCAGAGTTATGGGTTGCCCAAGGTCATCCAGCCAGGTGCAAGTTGAGGAGTGGGGAATCAAACCTGGTTCTCCCAGATTAGAGTCTGCGCACTTAACCACTACACCAAACTGAGGAGGTGTCCTGCCATCCCCTGGAATTTCGGGGGTGGAGCAAGGGGCAGAAATAATATTGGGCTACATTAGTGCTGACAGCACATCAGGTGTCACTCTAGAAATTATGGTATTACCATGGATTTTCTAGAGTATTGTCTGATATCACATCTGGGTTGTTGTTCAGGTGTGACATTGACACGTAACCCAACATCATTTCCACCCTGCCCCCCACTGTTTCTCCTGCCAACCCAAGAGGCAAGGCCCTTCTCCAGGGGCATTTGGCATGCCTAAATACATAAATTTTGAATAATTCCTTAAATTGACGTATATCTGACTATAGAAAGTACACTATGCAATAATCAACAGCTCAAGAAAAGAAAAAGAAGCAAAACATTAGGTGGTTCTGATAATTTAGTGACATGCCATTTGTTAGCTTTTTGGGGTAGATGTTAAATGGACTATACAACTATGTACCCTTTCTTTCAAGCATTTTAAAATGTAGTTGTTTATAGAATTAATTTTGAATATTAGTTCATAGTACCAGGTGAACAGAAGGATGTAGATGGTGATTTTTACAGTAAAACTCTAAATGATAACACTTCAAAAATCTGTGCTTGAAACTCTGCTTATTTAATCCCTCTGTTCAGTTCCTAATCTCTTCCTTTCCTGTTTTGTTGTTTTCCCTTTATAGGTTCCCTAAGTATCAATCTGTGGCACTGTGCTTGTGTACTATATCACTTTGTGTCTGACTTCTTTTGTTGAACATGCTTCTATTTCAGTGATTAAGATTCACAGATTAAAATGTTCATATTCTTGTCAAAAGAGTAGTTTCTGACTATTAAGTTTGTAATATGTGAAAATGGCTTAATGGACATTTACCTTTCTTGGCTGAAGTCATTTAAAAAGAATATCTATGGCTTCTTGGTTTTAAATACACCTGTCACTAATAGGGGTGTGCAATTTTTTTAAAAAACCGATATTTTTCAGTTTGAATTTATTGGACCTGAAAAAAATTCAGGATTTCCGAAAAATCCCAAATGCCAGTACTGGCACAGTATTCAGATCTGGGATTTTTCTGAAAATCCTGAATTTTGGGGGGTCCAATAGACCTGAGAAGAAAAGTACTAGTTTTAACAAAAAAAAAAGCAAGTACAAAGCTGAGCCAGCAGGGAACAATCTGCTCCCTGTGGGCTCCGAAGATCCTGGCTGGACTTGCTTCTTGGGCAAGCCATAGTTCTGTCAGAGCTTTTCTTGAAAGAGCAGTTTTTGAAAGAGCTCTCTCAGCCCCACCTACCTCACAGTGTGTCTGTTGTGTGGAGGGGAACAAAAAGGTGTTTGTAAGCCGCTCTGAGACTCAGAGTGAATGGTCTCCTCCTCCTCCTCCTCCATTGAAACCAGGCTGCAGGAAAAGTGAGCCCCAGGAGCTGCTGTGCTGCTGGGAGCAATGTGCTCCATGTGGCACAGGAGATCCTGGCTGGGTTCACTTCTGCAGTCCAGTTTAAACTAGGCTGCACAAGAAGTGAGCCCCAGGAGCTGCTGTACAACCAGGAGCAAAGTGCTCCACACAGCACAGAACATCCTGGCTGGACTTGCTTTTCCTGCAGCCAGGTTCCCAGCAGCACAGCAGATCCTGAGGCTGGCTTTTTCTGTAGCCTGGTTTAAACCAAGCTGCGTAAGAAGCCAGCCCCAAGCCAAGTTGGCAGGAACAGTCTGCTCCCCACCAGCACAGCTGATCCTTGGGCTGTCTTCTGCCGTCCCTTTAACCTTTAAAGGGACTGCAGTAGAAGCCCTACAAACAGCTGAGAGGCAGGAGCAATCTGCTCCAGGCTCTCTGCTGTTTTCGGATCTGCCCAGTAATTCCTGAATATATCCAGGATTTTTTCAGGGATTTTTTTCCGTTTTCCACAAGAAAACCCGGATACATTTGGAATGCTGATATCTACCCAAAAAATACCAGTAAGGTTTTTTACGTAGATTTTTGGCTTCGGTAGATCTGAATGCACACCCCTGGTCACTATGTTACAAACTAAATTATGTCCCACATACAAAAACTGTTCCATAGGTTATTATAATTGAAGATTTTTACTTCTGATTTCTAGATGTTGACTATATGAAACAGATCAGCTTCTGGTTTTACAGTGCAATCCTAAAATGAGTTAAATTAAGGGTTTAAAAGGGTGCAAGTGTTGCACTGTTAATCTCTTTCAGTTCAGCATTGATCTGACATAAACTCATAATATAGTTAATTAATTTCTCCAGCATACAAGTATGTTAGCTGTCTGCATTCTTTGTTATTTAAGAGATTGAAGTAGCTTTAAAACTAATATCATTTGTTCTTTCAGTGTTTCATTCTTCTGGCTTTTGTGGCTGCAGTCTAAGACCAGGGTAGATCACAGCTGCTGCAAATTCCTGCAGGATTTTCTAAATTTAGTTGTTAGTTTATCTTAGCCATGCATGACATAACACCAGGCTCGTAGAGCATTGTATGCTGTTCTTGTGTTGTAAAAATATTTATGTGGGACTTCCTTGATTTTTTTGTTTTGTTTTGTTTAATTTTTCTGTGTTCTTTGTCGACCTTGTTACCCAAGGGAGGTAACAATAAAATGAAACCATACCAAATCACATTGTTAAAAACATTAAATTTATAAAATATATTTAAATATTAAAAAAAACAAAACACTGCGTGTATTCCCTTTGGCCTAGATGCAAACTGCCCCAAATGTTCTATAGAATTGTTTTATTTTACAGCCTCACTGGAAAGCCAGGAGGACAACCACCACCTCCCCCAATTTCTTTGACAGTATTTTTGTATTCATCTTCAAATAATCTAATCTTCCATTTTTGGGCAGGGAACTAGAGTGGGTGGTTGCTTCTCCACTACAGGGGCTTTTGAAGAGACTGGTTTTCTGGACCCATTTCACTCTGGCTTTAGGTGAGGATTTGGAACAGGGGCTGCTTTGGTCAATTTGGTTGAGAACCTCTACTGAGAACTAGAGAGGGGAAATGGGGCCCTGCTAGGCCTACTGGAACTCTGAGTGGCCTCCTGTACCACTGACCATGGTATCCTACTGGGCCACCTCTCAGCACTAGGACTAAGGGGCACTGTGTTGCAGTGGTTCAAGTCCTGTCTGGGAGGCTGGCCCAAGAAGGTGGTGCTGGGGGATTCCTGCTTTGCCCCATGGCCTGTGTGGTTCCACAGGATTTGTTCTTACCACCATGCTATTTAATATTTAAGTGAAGCCACTGAGAGATTTGGCTTGAAGTGTCACCAATATGTGGATGATACTTACCTCTGCCTTTCTTTTCCACCTAATTCCAAGGAAGCTGTTGATGTTCTAAACCAGTGCTGGGAGTCAGAAAGAAACTGGATGAGGGTGAACAAGCTGAAACTTAATCCTTTCTCTCTGTGTGTGTCTCCTTTTTTTTAAAACTGGGTTAAAAAAAATTACTAATGACACAAATTATTCCCTTCCCCCTCCATTCCCACCCACAAACCAACTTCCCCTTTTCAAAGACAAGTCAACAAAATGCCCCATTTTGGTACAATTATTGGTCACTTCATTGTAAAATAGATATATGTACACACACACACATGCACACTATACACACACACACACAATCCAAAAGGCCACTACTGTCTTTTGCTCGAATGCTGGTGAGAAAAATGACAGAAAAAAACTCCATTTTCTACAAAAGAAAAGTCATGTCACTTCGGAGCTCTTGAAATTCTCTCCTCCTCCCTCCACAGCATGTCCGCTGCAAAAAAAATCCACTTGTTCTTCTGTTTCTTGACTACCCCCTTGCCCGTTGCCACACACTCTCACAAAACACTAAAACTTAATCCTGACAAGACAGAGATGCTCTGGGTTAGCAGAAAGGCAGGCCAGGGACTTCAGATCTACACCACCTCAGATGGGGTTACACTGCCCTTGAAAAGCCAGGTTCGCAGCTTGAAGAGCTGCTCAGTACAGCAGTCACCTTTGAAAATCAGGTGGCTGTTGGGTTTGGAGTGCTTTTGCCCAGCTCTGGCTGGTGTGCCAGCTGCACCCATTCCTGGATCAGCGTCGTCTAGTCACAGTGATCCATGTCTTAGTTAGATATAATCTAACACCTAACGCTCTGGCCAATGACTTACTGTCCCTGCTGGAGGCCGTAGCAGGCTGGGCGCTGGAGCACCCTAGGCTTATTGTCTTGGATGACATCAACGTCCATGCCGATGACGCGACCTCCATGCCGGCAGCAGACCTGGTGTCGTCCATGGCGGCACTGAGACTCTCCCAACTTGTAACGACCCCCACTCATCAGGCTGGACACATGCTCGATTTGATCTTCGCGGCTGGGGTAACAGTGGACCGGATTACAGCTTTCGGCTGTACTATGGTCTGACCACCTAGCCCTGAAGGCTTGTCTGAATATCCCTCCCCGACCCTGTTTAGGTGGCAAGAGTATTTTGGCTTGCCCACGGAGCCTAATGGACCCCTTGTGGCTCCAGAGGGCTCTGCGGGATCCAATGCCCCCCGGCGGCTCATTAGACGAGCTTGTGGAGGACTGGCATAGCCGAGTCTCCACAGCCATCGACGAGATCGCTCCCCGGCACCCTCTGCGCCTCCGCTCCAGACTCCCTCCCTGGTATACCCAGGAGCTGAGGGATATGAAGCGGGAGCTAAG